GTTAAAGGAATACTCCACTCAATTACTCACCTCGTGTTACACTGAATTTGTGAAGAAAACCTTCTTTTTCTTGCATGCCGCTATATTAAATGATGAATTCATAAATAATAAAGGAAAACAGTGACACACATGTACGAGTATTTGGCACATTCGGGCAAGTGCATGCAACTCTGCTCAGTGGAATACGCAAGCAGAGCTCAAATGCAAGCACTTATCCAGGTGTGTTACTTGTTGGCCTAAGTGTTTTAAATAGTAAGCTTTTAGTGAAAATGCATGTGTTTGGGTAGTACTGAGGATATGACTTGACTTGACTTGCATGAATTATGTGAGAGTTTGTAAATGGATGTTTTGACATAGTTGTGCTGCTGTTAAACATGACCCCCTTTTCTTTGTTCACTGTGTTGGCATGTGGAGGCGTGTAGGCATTGATATCCAAATGATTATTTTTATGAGTGAAGTATTCCTTTAAAGAGGAATTCAGAGCATCACACATAACGCTTTGTGACTATGCCCTCCATTATTTACAGTGCAATAGGCACATTTCACTGTTGTTGTTGTAAACTCAAAAGCTGACGTCACATCCTTGTAGCACAACTTAATGCACATCAATGCCCCCGATTCTGACTGCCACCCGCCCACCCTGTCTCCCACAGACACTGAGTGACATGATGCACATAATGTGTTGTCCTGTGTATGCACGTATGAAACCTGTTTCTGACGCAGGCGGGGGCGGCAGACCAGTGACGCAGAGCTTCACACTCACCTTTAAAATCTGTCACTGGCACATTGGTGACACTCACACAGATCTTCCTTCAGAGGTGGACAGATCAGGACCTCAGCAGGTAAGAGAGAAGACAATATTTGTCATTTCACCATTTGAAATAAACTTTAACTTTCTGTATTTCTACTTCTGTAAATTGTTTTCTTTATTTGTATGATTAACCTCAATTATACTTTTCATTCTGGGTGCAAAAGGAAAAAAAAATTGACATCACAGCATCACAGCATACTTAATCACCAGAAAATAACTATGTGGGTCTTTGAGAAGATCAGGGAGAGTGTGGAGAGCATTCCCTTGGAGCTGAGTCACTATGTGGGGAAGAGTGAGGAGGACATCCTTCTGTCTTCTAAGGCCAGTCTCTCTCACAAGCTACACAACAACATCCTGACTCCGGACAAGATCCCAGAGTTCTGCCTGCCGCCCAGGCTCTGCAAGAGAGGTCCACTGCTAGAAGCTGAGACAACGGTACCTTACCTGCACTGTCTGAGGAAGATGCCCAAAAGCAACACTCCTCCAAACACTATGCATGTGAAGAAGGATGGTGATGTATCAGTGGCTACAAAGAAACCTTTGCCATTCTCTGCAGAGGGGTACGGCCTGGCTGGGATATATGAGAGCCCCAACACTCGAAGGAAAGAGTCTCTGTTCCACTCAAAGTGCCCTGCTTACATGTTTGATAGAAGCCTTCCCAATGCAGCACCCAGGCTGGCAAAGGCAACAAACCTGCCCAAGAAAACTTTATCGAGGTTTCTCCCTCTGGTGTCATCCAAGAGCCTGTCAGAGACAGGAAGCACAGGAAGCGAAACACCTTCTTCCAGTGACTCATCCCCCTTCAGTTCCCCTTATAGTGCTAAATCCTCCCTGTACTTCCCACCAAGCAGTGGCCGTCTGAAAGGAGCAACATCCTGTCCCTCTTTAACTGACAGTAGGGAGATTAGAGGGAGGTGGAAGAGGGCGATTTTAAGTTTAACAACCTCGCCCAGTAGCCCTCCAAGCTTAAAGGGAAGCTCACCCACCTTAGCCCCATCTGCCCTCTTCCCGTTGGATGTTCTGCAGTGCCAGGAGAGACTTCAGCATGAGCACATCCTCCCTTTGCAGTGCCGTGGTAAAGTGCGCCTCTACATTGAGCACAACACATTGTCCACCAACACAGTCTCACCCATTTCCACAGTCAGAGTCCGTGTGGTGTCTGTAGAAGGCCTATGGGATGACACTGACAGACGAACCCTCAACTGTGCAGTCAATCTGTGTCTGACCCCAGGGAAGCTGCAGCAACAGGAGAGTGCCACCATCAGGAACTGCCGCAGCCCTGTGTTTAATGAAGACTTCTTCTTCACAGAGCTGAGCAGAGAGGATCTGCTGGAACTGCAGCTCAGGTTAAAAGTGGTGGATAAACCTGCAGCTGGAACGCTGAGAAGAGGGGCAGTGATTGCAGCAGTCACCAAACCACTGTCGCAGTTACTCCCTCTTAAAAAACAGGCAGAAGAATAACTTATTTTTCATCATTTGATGGGAAGGCAGATATGATACATGATCAAGATGTGTGGTAATTATTAGAATATGTACAAAAGAAAATGTTGAAGAGAAGGAAATAATAAATAATGTAGCTTGTGTAGGCTTCATTTACGTTTTGCAGCTGCTATGTAAATTTTCTCTATTGGTATTTCAATATGATACACAGTACACAAGGCAGTCATTAGGTACTGAATCTTATTGTATTTTTGGTATTCCCTCTTGATCATCTTAATGTACATTTGTGAAAGCTTTTTTGACCACCAGCTAAACTGCTGTGTGATCTGTAGCATGTTTATGTAAAGTAACATTGTTCTCAGACAAAACAACACATATGTTAACAGTGTGGGATGTGCCAGTTAGATTAGTTGTGTTTTTTTCTTGTCTTCCTGTATAGCACCATTTGTGTAAAATGGATACTTTGCCAATTTTTAACTAGCTTTGTATCTTAACAAACTGGGTAGCATGTGTAAATGAACTATGGCAAACTACACCCCATTTTACCAGCGCCCAGATCTCCCTGCCCATCTCTCAGCTCAGATCCACTGGCTCTCGGGCTGGTGCTCGAGCTACAAGTTGTTCTTCCGAATTTTCACCAATGTACCTATAAAATTTTAAAGAGTAACATTATAGAAGTGGTTTGAGAGAAATGCCAGCCCCTCACTCTCTCTCTCAAACTCTGATCAGACTATGAAACTATGCAGTGCTGATCAAATATAAACCAAGACTCTGTGACTGTATTATCTATTTCTCACCTAAAATGTCTCCAGAAACATCTTTTAACACACTGTTTGGCTGTTTTGTGAGAATTTGTGCACCATACTGTTTCTTGTATTGGAAAAAACGGAGGCTGAAAATACTGAGCTCAAACAATAAAACTAAGTAGTGCTGATAAAATATGAATCAAGATTTTGTTACTGTGTTGCCTGTGTCTCAGCTAAAATTTTTTCAGTAGCATATTTTAGCTCACCGTTTAACTGTGATTCCAGATTGTTTGCTTCAACCTGGCGACAATACTGCTTCCTGTAGAAAAACAAAAGAAAAACATAAATAAATTTATATATATTTGATCTTATCAGGAGGAGCATGCATTGGTTCAGTGCCATGCAGTGCATTCTGGTAGTTGTCGGTTATCTTTTTTAAAGACCATCTTTCCATCAGTGAAATACTTCTTTTAGTAGGCCTACTGATTTGAAAAGAGCTATACAGTTTTACAGAGGACAGATCAATGTCTTTACATAAAAACAGAGCACATTTCATTCAACTTATCAGCTGTTATAAGAAACTGTTTGTTAACTGTGTCAATGTAATGTTTGGCTTCATTCATGCATTGTAAAAATAAAGGTTTTGAATATGTGGATATGGTATTTTTGATAATATGATTAGACAGTAACTGTAAAACCCACATAGAGGCAGTTAACATCTACTTACCCTTGGTTCCTTTCTTTCAGTGCAGCAGCTGGGATACATGCACATGGTAGAAGTTTGCCTTCAGGCCTTTTAACTAGCAGGCCTGCCGTCAGGGGGGGTCAAAGGGTACAGATGACCCTGGCCAAAGGCTAAGGGGGGCCCATGAAAAGGTCTATGGCTGACCCTTAAATTGCATCAAGTACAATTTACTTACTGACTTAAATCACTGACAATACAAGTTATATGTATTAACATGATACATAAATATAATTTTATAATTAAACGACATTTCAACATGCCACCCACCCACCAGCAAGTACCGTGAAATCTGACATGGGTCAGGTTTGTGATGTGCAGAACTCACAAGTGCTGCAGATATAAATGTTTGAGGTGTACTGCTGCCTGATGTGCCAAGTCAGAATGCCTCATCAAAAATCAGGAGCTCCTAAAGGAAAATCCAGGGTACAGGGAGAATGAGAAAATAAAGGAGCAGGGAGGTGATGGACAAGTGTCTGGAAAAAAAATGTGAAGAAGCAACAGGTGTGACAGGCAGAGCTGAAGGTAAAAAGTAGGGCAGAGTAACAGTAAAAAAATAGTAACATGAAGACACGTGTATCATACAGTATTAAACTAGAGGTCCTAAGGCATCCATTGGTACCAACCATGTTATGCTGACTTGTTGGAAAGGGGGGCAAAAAACACTCCAAAGTTGCGCTAGATTTTGACGAGGGAAAAAGGAAGATTACATAAATTGGGTGTGACCAGAAAACTGAGAGTTGACAACTTTATACGCTTCACACTGTTTCAGTTCTGCACACAATTTGACCAATATTTAATTAAAGACTGAATAAATAAATGTAGAAAAAAAAGTTCACTCATGATTTGATCTTATGATTTAATAGCATGCAGTAATGTTTCTTATCAATGTTTGTTTTACTTTTCTCTAACCATTCATTGGAGGACATCTTTTTGGCCCAGGATACATGACTACCTCTGCTTTTCAAAGTAAAAGAACAAGGTCTTAACACGCAGTAGATACAAAATACATTCGCATAAAGCATAAAATTTTGCATAGTGATATGTAGAGTAATTTCGCCCACGGCCCTTTGATGGGTGCGGATGAGTGGCCCACTTTTGAAAATGTTGTCACCTTGCCCATATTTTCTATCAGCTGGCCTGCAACCAGAAGCCCTTTCTGTAAGAAATCTCACCCCTTTCCTGCAGGAGACTCATGTGCCTTACAAGTCAGTAACCTCACCTTGCTGTAACCTCACAGCAACTGCCACCAACAACAACATGGAGGTTCACAACTTTATTGAACAGTGTAGACATAAGACACAGCCAGACATTCAGTATAAAAATGAGTTATATATTTCTCTCTATTTCAGCATGTCTGTGTGCTTGATTTCTGTTATGGTACACATAGCTCTTATTGGTCTTCAGTATTGAGGAAATCCACCAGCATCAATTCCCTTATTACATCTGGTAGTCAATACATGTGTAGTAATTCACCCTGAGTGCATTCATCTTTTTTAAAATTAAACAGGGAGCGAAAGGTAGCAGTAGGTAGGTAGAATATTAGTATGACATATTAAACATTACAAGAAGATTAGACATTAAAGGGGGACACAACACACCCTCCCTATGCCTACATTTATATTTCAATAGACCTTTGTTTTCTCCGTGTCCTACCTCACATTGTTCTTTAGAAATAACAAATTATGAATTTTGCATCAGGCCTTTCCTGTCATATGGAATGAATGCATGTGGTTCGCACTTTTCCTTTGCATTTTTTTTTATACCTTTATCCATGCAGCCTTTAGATTTTTCTTTTCCTCACGTTACTGGTGTACTGCCCAAATGCTAACTGGTGAGCCTTTTTAACTGCAGAAAGTATTGCAGGTGTTTCTTCGTAATCACTGCTCTGACACCACTCGTGCAATTCCGCGATCATATCTTTCACAGTTTCTGATGGGCTTACACCGACAGTGGTGCTCTCAATCAACTGGTTGCCACATTCCTCTGGCAAACTGTCTTGCAGAAGTCTCTCTGAAAGTCTGAGGCACACACAGATTTCTTGAAAGCTATTAGCAAGACATGTGCACTGTTTAGCTTGCGCACTAACAACCCCAAAGTCATTTTGATGATGTACAATCAGATGCTCTCCGTCCCATTCGTAACTTTGTTGTTCAAATAGTGACCTTGCCACCTCCTTTCTAAGGTCATCTATATCAGCACCCACTTCTTGGCATTTTTCTTTGGCCAAAAGGATGTGCTTGCACAGATTACCTCTGGTGGAAACAGCACACTGACACTGCATCGTGACGACATCAACATGATAGTATTTTCCTTCAACTTCAGAAGGAACTGAATACAGACCAGCTTCCTTCACCATAATTTTGTGAAGCAACCCTGCACTCTTCATGCTGGATGCAGCTTCCACTGTGTCTTGTGTCCTGGAGTCTGGAATCAGGTCAGCACCGTGGAGGTCGTCCATGTAGCTTTGAATAAGGAAAGACAATGAACGTTACAGAGCGTGGAAATAAAATGAGTGATTTGCAAATTTTAAACATCAAAATTCTTATCTTTGTCTCAAAGAGCCAGTTGTCTAACATGATGAAAAATATTATTTAATTCACCCTCTACTTGGACCTTAGAAAAGCAAACTCCCTTGGAATTAAAGAAAATAAATTGAAAAGACCTATCTTTTGAATTTGGATTTTAATGTAGGTTAAATTATCTGGTATTATTGTTATTTTTTGTGTGTATTGTGATCAAACTGTTTTTTTTTCTGTGTTTGTGTTGTTTTTGTCTCACTATTGGTTTTCAATTGCTTATTATTGTTTATTTTCATATAATCTTGTTCAGACAAGCACTTTGGGCTGCATCTTTGCATGATATGTGCTATACAAATCAAGTTATTATTACTATTTAGAGAATATACAAAGAGGGTCATCAGGACTGCTGACTACCCGTGCTTTTCCTTGAGTTCAGGAGTGCAAATATTCAACTATCAGTATGCTACAAACCTGCAGTAGTTGAAAACTTTTTTATTCAGGAGTAGAAGCAGTTCATCAAGACGTCTGTTAGCATATCCTCGAGGAAACTGATACTTGATGCTGAAAAAACAATATTAAGAAAAGAAGGGTATGAACTGAAACTGGCCACAGAGATCACTTCATGTTAACATTTATTTCTTTTTTGTTATGTAAATAACTAACTGGAAATGCTATAAAATATGATGTATACTGTTACATTAAAATTGTTTTAGTATTGGATTTAAGAGCCAAACCTCTCCACTAAGTTGTTGGTTTTGTTGCTTTGATAAAAAAGGCGTTGTCCATACTTGGCCCACATCTCTGCATGTTGGAACCACTGTGTTTGCAGATATGTGGAGATGGTTTTGGTGCCAGTCATTGCATCAAGCTTCTCTGTGACCTCCTTGGCTTTTTCAGTGAAGTCAGTTGCCTATATAACAATAAAATACAAAAAATGAGGACCAGTTTTTAAATTCATTGTATCAATGCACTGTCCAAGCACCTGAGGTCATTTGCACCCAACTGGGTCCAACAGGCTGACGTAGAAATGCACACCACCATCACCTGTGTGTTGGTGGGTGCAGTTCAAGGGCACTCCAAAAAGGAAATGGCATTGTTATAACAAATTACTTACAAGTGCACACTGTTTCAGCAGGATCATTGACCTAATGACCTCATAACGTACTTCTGGGTTCTTGTTGCAACCCTCCTGCCGCAGCATCCAGCGATGAACAGCCTATTCAATACAAAACATGACAAAATGTCTCAAAAGTATAACCAGAGACAGTCCAGTGATTTTAAATATCAAAAAATTGATACAGATGACTCTCCATTCAAAGAGACAGTGCTCAGGTCGTGTTAGTCTTCCAAGTCCCTGTCATCAAGATAGCAACAGCGTGAACTGGCTTCTCTACACTTAATATGACATTAGCACTGTTCTGTTTTGACAATACTTTATGTCTAGGAACTTTGGCATTACCTGGAGAACATGGAACCAACATAACAGTATTTTTGCATGTGGGAACACGTTGCGTATTGCCTCAATCTCCTTCACATCACGGTCAATCATGATGTACCTGTAAACGGAAACAACAGACTCTTTGTATGGAATGTTTGTGTAGTATTTTTTCTTACAATATGGCTGCCTATAATGATTGGTAACCACGTTTAAAAGAAAATCCCTAATTTCTGTGCATTGGGATGGTAGTTAAAATGTTGGTAAAGCATATTACCAGATTCGGAGCACTGTGGAAGTTTCGAATAGAGAAATCTGCAACACTAACGACTGCACCAACAATGAAAGTACTTTCTACATCACAAACATATTCAGATAAAATAATGAAAAGGTGAAAAGGTGTTAAAAATGTAATCATGATCTCTAGTAAAAGGCTAAGTATCGCACAGTGAGAGGTTATTATGGTTACAAAGGACTCTTTAACAGATTAGCATATTAGCCTGTCCATCAGGGTGAAAGATATAATACATAGATGAATATTTATACACACTTTAGACAGAATTATTTGTGGTGTGGTATTTTAGACGAGTTACCTTGGATGAAATGGACTGGCAGCCTCTTGCAGCTTCTGCAAACATAGTGACAAGTATTCTGATGATTCCTCGCTCAAGATGAAAAAAGCAACAGGGACACCCCGGCCATGGTCCGATTTGATGGCAACAGCATATAATACAAATCCATATTGTGTAATACCCTTGTATGTAGCGTCAAGATATATCATCTCAGGGCCATATTTTTTTAACTGTTGAATTTGCCAGGGTGAGCTTAAAACAATAATCAGTGGCTTCTTCTTACTATGTGAAAGAGTCTGATAGAAAATTACACTCTCTTTTAACTCTGTTTTGACCAGATGATCGACAGCAACACTATCATTGCCGATGACATGCACTCTGGTCTGTGACTGAAAGTTCTTTTTTAACAGTGTAATGTCCTTAGGGGTAACAAAGTAGCTTCGATCTGTGTGATCCTTGTTCCCCTGGGCCTTCGCCCACTCTTTGCATTTAAGCAGGATTTCTGCATTTGAATCTCCCAGCTGAAAACAGGTATGAATATAGGCAATCAAATCGCTGTCTATCTGATTTGAGCGATCTTCCTGAGGATTGCCGAGGTCATGTCCCGAGTGCTTGTTCATTAGGCGCACAATGCAGTTGTTGAAGGTGTTTTTGCTCACAAATGTAAATGAAACATAGGCTCCACAACTGTTGGCCCTTGTGGTCATGGGCTCTCCGTTTGACTTCCCTTTACATTTATTACCTCTTTCACACCGCCACTGGATCTGGTCTGGTCCCCTTTTTTTCATAGCTGTGAATATTCCAGTCCCATTACTTTCTAATTCCTCCAAGTGTCTTGACATGAACTCGTCCCGCGTCTCATTGCGGGGTACGTTGTGTACTGTCCTTTTAACGTCTGGATGGCGTTCTTTGCGGAGATTACTTTCCAATGACCGCAGACAGTAAGAATCCATTTCACTGAAATACAAAAGAAAAGGAAAAGTCAAATAATCATTGAACAATCATGACATAATTTAAAAGGAACACTGTCCAATGAGAATTAAAAGGAAATTTAGGTTATTTACTTCTGCTCGACTGGCAATGGTGTAGTTGTAGTTGATGAGGTGGGTGTACTACTAGGTAGATGGGTAGGTTACTGAGGAGGAAGTGGGTATACTGTAAATGGTCAGAAAAGGAGGTGGATATACCCCATATACTGCGTATACCGTCCACTTCACCAGTGAGACTGTGAGAAAGTATGTGACATTTCACAAACAGTATGAACTTATTCAAACTGCAATTCTCAGTCATATCTATTGAAAATGTAAACCTATAATCCTACTGGACATAAACACTACACTCATCAACTAGTGCAAGCTGTTGTGTCAAACAAACAATACAGTACCTACCAGTAATAAACAGAAAAACTATTTCCTAATTAATATTTAATAGATACCTGTGATAACTACAATAACCTGCCTGTTTAAATTAGTTTCTTGTGATAACTGCACTAACCATTCTCAGAGAAACATAGTTGATATTACTAGCTACTAGTGATAATAGCACTATCCTTTCTGACAGAAATATAATTAGTTTATATAATTATCTACCCGTGATAAATGTGTTAACGTTAGACTTCTTATTAGCTATCAGTAGTATATGCGTTGGCTTTTTCGACAGGAAAAACTGTTAAAGATAGCCACCAGTGATACATTGACTAGCCTTTCTGACAGGAAGACCATTGTTATTATTTTTATTTAACTAACATCACTAACTTATGTCACAAAATGTGATTTATCTTAGGAGCTGCCAGTGATAAAGCACTTTTAATTTAGCAGACTAAATCTATCTTCAACTGCTAAAAGGGGCTAATGTTTACGCTAATGTTCATTTAGCAATTTCTGCAAAAATGTAGCTTGCAAGCTAACATTAGCAAGTTAGCTTGTTAACTTTCACACACAAAAAGCAATAACTAGTTTGTATTAAATCAACGTTAATAACTTCATTACTTACGAATGATGTAAACTCTGGACGGTTGGTCGAAGCGGAACTCTTCGCACCACTGGTCGGAGCGTACCGGATGTTGCACATTAGACTTCCTTGGTTTCAGCAGTGGGACAATTCTGCCGGAAGTATGACGTTGGGCACCGCCCACCGCAGAACGTCCTCATCTGACGTTGGGGCAAGCGAGTCCTCAGAATGTAAACATGGTGACAGGTAGATGAAAGAAAAGCCAAAATGGTCTTCGAAAGCTTGGTGGTTGATGTCCTCAACCGGTTTTTGGGGGACTACGTTGTCAACCTCGACAGCTCGCAGCTAAAGCTCGGCATATGGGGAGGTAACTGAACTTGTGTTTGTCGTTTTAGTGGACGAGCTCGCTAACCAAGCTAGCTAGCTAATGCTAACAGTCATTAGCCGTCAGTCGTGTGAGACAGACTCCCTCAGCTGTCAGTGTCAGTTTGTCTCGTTCAACGTTAGCTGTCCAGTTTGAGCTAAACAGCGCAGTCAAATGCTAGTTTATTCATAGACAAGTCAGGCTTGTTAGTTTTTGGCTGCTACAATTACCTTATGTCAACGTGCCTCATTTGCTACTGCAAGGCTGTTTGCTCACTGCATTCATGCGAGTTACAGAGGAGCCATCAGTTCGGGGTCACACCCTTTCACACACCCAGGTTAAGACTCGCCACTGTGCTTCATACTGGGTCCCTTTCACAAGCTCAGCCAGGATCGTGCACAGTCACAGCTCTGTGCACGATCCTGGCAAATGAGAGGATTAGTAGAGAGGTTTCAGAGCCACTGCTAAACATGCACCAACTTGTAGCAAGTAATCAAACCACAGAGTAAATACCTTCTTTTTTTTTAACCAAAGCTTCCATGAATGGTTTTTTAATAATATGTGATTTCTATTGCCTGAATCTGTTAAATCAATAGATAAAGGTCAAAAATCTCGGACTACACTGTGTTTCTCTGCACCTTACAACACAATACTGATCTGTTTGGCCTATCATAATGTACATAGTAACAATCAGTAAACAAATACTCCTGTCATTGCAGGTGATGCTGTTCTAACAAATCTTGAAATAAAGGAAAATGCCTTGGTAAGTTGCAAATAAGTGTTTAAGTAAGCAAAACTAGTCTGTCATTACATTCTGGCATTCATGATGGATTTGTGTTACAGTGATTTACTGCTCTTTCATTGCAGAGTCAACTTGACATTCCTTTTAAAGTGAGAGCCGGTCATATAGGTGAGGTTGTTATTTGTCACTATTTGTCACATACCCTTTGGCACAGAGGAGTATCTTCTCACTTTGTGTTTCTTTTAATAGGACGGCTGGAGCTAAAGATACCATGGAAGAACCTCTACACCCAGTCAGTGGAGGCGACACTGGATGGTGTCTATCTGCTTATAGTCCCCACAGCAAGTGAGATCACGTCGACATCCACCTAAATTCATAAAAATGTTCTCATCATAGACATTATAGTGTATACTGTTGATTCCCACCATTTCAGTCGACACATACAGTGCCAAAAGGATATTAATCTCCTTTATGTCAATGTTGAGATTTTTACATGTTAAAAATTAAAAAAAACACAGTAAAAATGCATTCAAATAAGTTGCTGTGAAAAAATATGTAAGTGTGGATTTAAAATACTAGGTATATCATGTTCAGTTAAATGAATAAGCCTTATGATTAGCAAACACAGCTCAGTGTGGCACACTAGTCAGACAAAGAAGGTCTCTCACTTATTCATGATCCTAAGGTACTTGTCAGGAACAAACAGAGAACTCAAGCCTAACCTTTTGTATATTTAATTGTTTTTAAAGATGTACAGACAAGTTCTAATTTTTATTGGCCCCATTCTTTCCAGGTATAAAGTATGATGCAGACAAGGAAGAAAAGCAGCTACAAGAGGCTCGTCAGAGGGAGCTACAGCGGATAGAGGAGACAAAGCTGAAGGCTGCCGAGCAAGGTCAGGGTTAATCTTTTTTTTCTGCGTCTGTGTGTGTAGACATATGAGTCTGCTAAACATTCTCTGTATGTCACTGCATAAATTAGGAAATTTTTGCTTCTAGGTAAGTTTTTAACAGGTTTCAGAGACATTCTTAGCCAAACAGTGAAAATGAATTACTGCCTGTGAAAAAATTAAGTTAACTATGACTTCAAACAGCAGTAATGAGAACTAAGGCTCCTTCAAACCCTCCCTTTGGGGGGGAGGTAGAGGTCAAATTCTTGTTCCTAAAGCTGCAGGACCAGATGAGTTCTAATATTTATCATATTTGTTTCTGTATGACAGAGGACCCTAGTGTGGAAAAGCAGGACACCTTTGTGGAGAAGCTTGTCACTCAGGTCATCAAAAACCTGCAGGTCAAGATCTCTAACATCCACGTACGCTATGAAGATGATGTGAGTATTTACACTGGGTTACCTTAGTGGTGTATTTATATACAACATAACTCAGATTTGCTTTTGTAAAAATAGCAACAAGTGATAGACACAGGGAATAAGATGTGGTTGCATTTTTACAGCCCCTCCGACAATGTATTCTTGTGCGTTAACAGTTCACAGGCTTGACTCTGATTTCTTTTGTTTGTTTTCCAAAGGTCACAAATCCAAACTGTCCTTTGTCATTTGGAGTGTCACTGAAAAAACTCAGCCTTCAGGTAATGTGCTGTAATGTCCCTCCTGTCAGATTATATCATATATTGCATTCAGAAATTAAGGAGTTCTTAAGCCTAAATTAATACATGAAATTTAAACATAATTATATATATATGTATCACAATTTAAAGTAATCTCATGAAAGCCCCTATATCGCACTGCTTGTTTGACCAATGACTTCCTGTGGCGCTGCTCAGCTGGCGACCCAGGCAGTAGTGCTTGCTGCATGTTGATGACTGCCCCTCAGTGTATCACCAGTAGATCACCACCTTTAAGTCCTGGTGTGACAACCATCCCCTCATTTTTAATAATAATTAAAATGAAGAAATCGTATCTGACCCCAGGGAGGTGTGAGTCGATGATCCTGTAGTCATTGGTGACAGTGAAATTGGGCAGGTGTGCTCTGAAAAGTACTTGGGCATACAAATGGACAGTAAACTATGGAGTGGAGTGCCCATGGAGTGCCCATGGGGAGTGTCTGTGTGCTAGGCTGACTCTGAGACTTTACTTTCTTCATAGCCTCAGACTGTTTGGTTTGGGAGACCGAGATCATGTTAACATTTTACAGTGCTGTGCAGGAAAGTATCATTAGATATGGTGTGGCACCCTTACAATTAAGTTAAAATTGGGAATTGCAAACATGATGAATACTGCAATGAAACGCAAGAAAGAATTCCTATCGCTTCACGCTATCTATGAGAGACGTGCAAACAGAATTCTGAAGAACCAGTCTCATGTTCAGTATTCTGAATACAAACTATTACCTTCAGGTAGACGTTACAGTAAATTTAAAATCAACCGCCTCAAGGTTTCCCCTCTTACGAACATCTACACTCGTCAACAAGAAAGCAGGTTAAACCATACTCATAAGTTTAGTATGCAAGAAGGCACTATTGCACTTTGTTTCATGGGTTATGTATTATGGTTTTTATGACTTCTGTCTCATTTCTACAATGCCTATGTATTTATATCTTCTTCCAAGGCTTGTGCAATACTTTATATATCCATGTTTTTAGTTTCATTTTGTGTAATTTATAATACCTGTGATGTACCACTGTATTGTCACATTGACTATGTATTGCTTCAAGTTAATTGCAGCTGGGTGTAGCACTATTGCCCAAGCAAAATTGCCCTCCGGGGATAACAAAGTATATTATGATCTTATCTTATCTTACAGACATCTGACAAGAACTGGAATCCCAGTCTTTTGGATGAGAATTCCAGGCTTTTCTATAAGGTAAAAGATTCAACTACTTAATCTGTCATTTATGCCTGCACTTTATGACCTATACATTTATGTTTAACAGGAAATATAAAATGTGTCCAGTGTGACAAGTTTGTCATTGCATTTGATGACTTTGTCACGTCAAGTAAACTCAGACTTCAACTAACGTTTGGTAGCAGTTGTTCAAGGAGCCATTTTTTCCCTCATAGCCTAATTTTGGGCCTTGATCCAAACTGTAGAAGTCATATTATACTGTCAGCTATGTTTCATACTCATGATAGATAAATATTTGTACTGCTATAATTGATTTGTTTTTCTTCCTTTCAGCTGGTTCAACTAGACAGCTTGTTTGCCTACTGGAATGTCAACTCACTTCTGTTCTCCAATCACAGTCCAGATGAGGCCTTGGTAAGTCTCCCTGTCACTACTGGGTTGTACCTTGTCTCCAACAGCTAGGATTAAGTCCACCTATTGACTGTCTTTATCTGCTTTATTGATTTTAAAGCCTTTGTTATTAAATTCCCTTGGTGAACACTGGAAAAAAGCCCTCTTAAAAATGCCTCTGTGATAAATGCAGATTTTGTTCACCTTTCATTTCATCCACAGAAGCTCTATTCAGAATAAGCCCAATGGGTAGAATGTGTATGTGTGTGGTGTTGTAATGGTTTATGTTTCTGTGTTTTTAAAACAGTAATAAAAAGAGAGGTTAAAGGGATAGTTGGTATCTTTTGAAGCGGGGTTGTATGAGGTACTTATCCATAGTCAGTGTGTTACCTACAGTAGATGACGGTCGGCACACGCCCACTTTGAAGAAGAGGAGGAGCTGCTGGTCTACCACTGCTTCAGTCAGTTAGTTTGATTGTATTATTCAGCGAATCTGAACTAAATGCCCAAGTCACACAATGATACAAACAAACTAACCCAGCAGTAGTCAAGCAGCTCCTGTGTTTATATGTTAGGTAGGTGTTTTTCTCAATGGAGCCTAGCTTTGAAGATATAACCACTTCAGTTCAAGGCAGGTGCAGTTCAGTTCCTCGTTGGAAATTGTCTGACGGCAAGGTGAAGCAGCGAAAACATTCTAAATATAGTGCACACTTAAGCTGATATTGATTTTTTTAGGTGACTAAAATGTGTTTTGTTGCTGACCCCTCGACAGCACTAGATTGCTTAGCTTCTGTGT